GACGCAGCGTGTTGGCAGGATATCGACGTGAGCTGGATGCAGAGGCGTCACCGACTGACTGACCAAGGCCCCACGAATTGGGTCGCGAAGAGGTGTGCTCGCAAACTCAGAGCATGCCGTGCATGAGCCGTGAAGGCGGGATCACGGAAGACGGTGATGAGTGTGCAGATGCGGTTAGAGACACCCATGTTGACGCGGGTGTTGGCGTGGGCACGCGTAATGTGGGTTGCACTTTACAGCAACGCGCGACTGGCTTTGGAAAGCGGTTGGCCACGACCCACTGTCCCTGTACCTGCGACGTAGGGAATTGTGTGGAGAAGAGGGAGGGAGGTACCTAGTGGGGAGGTACTGGGAGGTATCTAGAAAAGGGTCTGTCTGGTGCGGGTACAGAAATTCATGCAGCTACAAACTGTCTCGCCAATCTGTGATCCAGGTGTCTGATGCTCTGCATGCATGCCCCTATTGCATCTCGAACAGCCGCGCAATGATTGACTTCTGATACAGTCATTCAAAATGAATGCTACCGATACAACATCGAATTCTGGATGCGAGAAAGGTCCTGGAAACTCGAATTTAAACCAAGTCGACACATGGCACATCCCGTAGATCAGATCAAGGTGCAAGTGGTGGTCCACTCAAACACTCGACTGGTCATTGGACAATAAATATGTCGAAATTCGACATGACTTTGTCCTCACTTATGCTATACTGGCGCAATGCATAACCCTAATTGCCAGAAGCACGCTTGGTTCAATCACGGCAGCATCTAGCGTTAAGCCTGGATCTATCCGCCGCGCCGTTTATTTAGACAAGGCCGACTTAATATTGTGTCATTTCAACAGCAGGTAGCTCTTTGGGGGTCTAACTTGGTCCAGAAAGTCAGTTGTGTCATTTATCTGGAACTGCCCTCGCTACTTCACTTGGTTGCCCTCGACAGTGTTGAAAGTCGAGTGAATCCCAGCAAGACGCGGAGCCGTGAACATGTGAAACGTTGAACTCATGGGCTTCATAATGGGCCATTTGGTCTCTCAAGAAACAACCTACTCGGAAAATCAATATAGCTGTGTTGTCTGAACAACCATCCCGAGGTCGGCAGTGAGAGAGTCCAGCGGAATCAAAACTGCATTTTCAGATACTGCGTTGCCGAGTCTGACGAGGTAGCCGCAGCAACAGGCAAGACTGTGCCATCAAACCCCGCCAAAAAGAGTTGCATATACCTTCATTCTGCTTAGAGCGAGGTCATGGCTGTAAAAGAGCATCGTCAATGATTGCTAAACAGCAAGTAGCACTTCACATTGTTCGAGATCAAAGTCGGTGGACAGACATCCCCCCGTGGTAGACGACGACCAGCGGACAGACGATATCACAGAAATGTGCGCGCATGTTTGGTAGTAGCAGCGGCCCAGGTCATGTCCTTGATGCTGCTCGTGACAAGCAAATAGTACATGGCTGTAACCAGATTACTTCCAAGGGACATCAACGAGTCTACGGGTAAAAAGTGACCATTGGATACGGCATCCAAGGCCAGCGCAGATACCACGTATGATAGACCCGTGTGCAACATGGCACCAGACAAGTGGCGAGCTGGCCAACGCAGACACTGGCAAGAAGAGAATATGCCGCATGACGATTAAATGACGCCGTCATTGCTGAAACATGCCAAGACGAATAGCAAATTTCACGTATTAATAAACTGCTGGCCGCAAACATAAACTGAATAAAAGGTATGGTAGCAATAGGCAGCCTTTAATGCCGTGAGACAAAGGGCCGTCCCAAACAGACGGTCCATCCATGTCTGTGTTTTCCAGTGGCGAATCTCTGTTTTTTTGCCCGATATCAAGCACCAATGCATTGTCACAGAGCGCAAGGCAGGAACATGAATAAATCAATAATGAACATAAACTCGGCAAGGTTCCGACCAGAGTCCCGTGGCTGAGACTCGCCTTTTGACCACTTCACAGCCGTGCATGTCCTGGGAAACCGGTGAATGAGGCATGACGCCGCGCCAATGGCGAGAGAAAACACGCAAGAAGACAAATGGGCCCCATCTTTACAGTCGTCAAGCTTCCCCAGTGACGGTGCATTCTTTCGTAGCACAAGACGCGGTCTGACGAGACAATTGGTTTGCCGAGGCGGGGAGGGGGATTCGACACCCAAGGCCAGAAGCACAAGGAGACCATGGTGCATGTTCGAGAACAGCATACAACGCCCGGGGCGTCATGGGCAAGGCGGAGACAAGGCAGAGAGACAGGCAAGGCACTGGCATAAGGCTGCTTCCGCTCGGGGTTGGCGACCAGACACTATTGGTACATCGGCAGTTGTGGTGTCAACATTGAAGTGAGGCAGGCAGCCCGAGAAGGCTCAACAATGTCATCACACGAGAGGCGAGGGTTCGTGGCTTGCGAGCTGAAAGAAAAATAAAAAACACCGTCTGGAGGAAGAGCAGGGGGGTCCAGGTCCCGTAAGAATCATGCCTTGGATGCAAGCAAACGACGTGGCAGCAACATCGCGCGGCCAAGATGACGTTGGTGTTGAGTGTCGGCCTCGTCTTGCGTCGTCACCCCGGCATTCCCATGTGCCTTGCCTCGGGGTGTGACGGGGCCAGGATTCAAAATGCTGCGCTCCAAATCCCCAGTGACGGGGACTCTGGCGTTCTCTATTTTGGCCATGCGGCTCCGCGAAATGTCACCCCATACCAGACACGACGACACAAGCCTCACGGTTCCCTTTTCTGCAGGCGCTCACGTCTTGCGTCTGGACTCGAGGCCGTCTGTAGGTATGCATCCAAGTATATGAATGAAGAGTCAGAGTGGCATATGTCGGTTCAAGCCCGTATTCAAATAATATAGCTGCGCCGTGCTCAATTTTCAACCGGAGGAATCGAACATTTACGCACGGAGTACTACTCCGGTTGCTACCCCCAGGCTGCATGGGTCGTCCGGGGTGCCGGATTTCCCAAGCATCGGTGTCAGACGTGTATCAATAGCTTCCATGGAGAGACGAGGTCGCACGGCATCATGGGAGAACAGATTACGGGAGTACGGGGCTCGCTGTTGTGTATTTTGGCGTATTGGCACAAAGCCGACTGCGAGGTTACACCCGTTTCCCCAGGAAGAAGCACGGCATTTTCACCAAGAAGCTTTTTTTTATCGTATCTTGTTTTTTTAAAAAAAAAAATACAAAGTGCCCTGCAGGATCGTCACATGGCCCGAGCCATTTTCGCTTCCGAATCCAACTCAAGCGCCTCATTCTCGGACGTGCAAGGGCACAACAATGAGGCGTCGAAAAGCGACGACGGTTCACCCAATGCACCCTTCCTTGCAAGGCACCGACACGAACTGTATCCAAGACGTGACGTAAACCTTTTTTTTTTTTTTTTCAATCAACATGAAACATGGCCTGTGAGAAATTTCCCCTCGTAGCTGGGGGCCAGGTTGGGCATGTCGACGCTGCGCCTTGCCCACGGAATCACCAGATACATCTCAACCATGCGCCACCAGCTGATCCCGAGAATATTGCATGGCAACCATCACAACAGTAGTTCAACCCAAAGTGAAAAAAAAGAGTATCGTGCAACAGTGGCCGCGCATACCAGAGGCGGGATGACAAAGCGCGTCGCTCGCAACACATGGTTCCCGTGATTGGCGTTCAGACGCACAAAAGAGGGAAATGCAGTGCAACAGCTTGGGCAATTGCAACGCCACCATACCGCGTTATATACGTTATTTCGGCTTTAGACCGCCCTTTTGAATCCCATCACTGCCGTCGTGACTTGTTCAAAGAGTCGTGATTTTTTCCTTCTGGCCTTTGACGTGGCGATTGAACCCATTCACCGCGGCTGCACTGCAACACCATCCCATCTCTTTCGGTCCAACACACCTTCAGGTCCTAGGACCGACGGGCATTATTACACAATGGCTTACAATTGAAAGTCTGCATGCTGATGACTCTAGCGCAAGGACCAGATATTTAAAAAAAAAATATAACAAATAGCCAGAAAAAGGCGTCCATGTTCACTTGTCCGCTGACGTCGTTTGGGGTATGCCTCCTGGCACGGCCAATGATAACCGTGCCTGTTCACACCATTCGACTAGCCAGTCTTCATCCTCTCAGCTGGCAGGCTGAATTATTGGTGCGCTGGACCAAACAGATGGCGCTGATTATCTGCACGGTCGCCTCACCGCGGACGAATCGTGGAGGTGGCGATGGCGGGCGTCGTGATGCACGGCCGGTGGTTGCCTGGGCCAGGTGCATTGTTTCGGTGACGCTGACGAGGCCATGAAATGCACAGATCGAGTGTTTTGAGACATTTTGTTGTATACAAAAAAAAAAAAAAAACGCTCTTGTGTTTTTCTGCTCCGTAGCAAAGGTGGCGTGCTGAGGTGCGTCGTGCATCGTGTAAGCCGAATCGCCCAAATAGGAAATTGAACATAGTTGCGCCTTGCCATGACATCCAGCGACGGCGTATTGACGAAGCCCTTTTTTTTCATCTTCCCCTCTCCGCAGGTTTTGTCCAACGGGGCTATGCGAGAAATTGCTAAGCTGCTTGCATCCTACACCGAGCCACACGTAGCCCTTGTGTTGCACCTAGGCACACTTGACACTCGGTATTCTCGTCACGACCACCTTTGACAGCTTTGCCATGCCTCAAACACTCCGTCTCCCCCTGTTTGGCCACATGCAGCCGCCTCACTTGGTCCGCCGCGCCAGCCTTTTTGATGTTACATATTGTCGGCATTTGATAGAGGCTCTGCGGCCTCTTTTGGGAGGGAATCCCCTTGGTTCTTATACTTGATGCCTGGCTGGCTTGATTCAAGTCGCTGCTCAACTTACACCAGCAACCACCAACAGACAAGAGCAACAACAGTCTGGGACCTGAGACGCCTTTTTCAAAACAACTTGACATCAAATCATCCCTACAACGCCAAAACTGTGAAATCTTGCCAAGTCAAGGTCAAGACATGGAATCGTTCCCCCGGGCGGGATTCCCGCAGAACAACATGGGAGGCGCCAACCGTCCTGTAAATGCGCCGAATCCCATTCCTCCGCCAGCAACAGCCGGCCTGCATGGCATCAGTGCAGGAGGACAGTCGATGCCGAGTGCGATCCCTCGTGCTGAAGTTCGTCCCGGCATTGGGGGGGGAGGACCCGTTCCCACGCAGCAATATCCAACGCATCAACAAGATCAATTTCCCCAACAACAACAGCAGCAGCAGCAATATCCCCGGATGCAGCAGCAACCTGGCATGTGCCAGCTTCCTATCCCAAATGTGAACCAGGGCCAAGCCTATTCAGGCCAGCCCTCGCACTTCCAACAGCGCCCAAACCAGCAACAACAGCAACAACACATGAACCAACAGGCCCCCGGGCAGCGCAGACGCGAACGCAGGGGCGAAGTCGTCGACCTACGCAATGAAAACATGTCCGAGGACGAAGCCCGTCACAAGCTCTCATCATACGTTGTCCTGCGTATGGAAAAGGCTCGCAGCCCAAATGCGACGGACGAGCTGGGCTATCCGCGTCTGCCGACCTGGGAATGCGCCATGCATACGAAAGAAAAGGACATTTCCCAGGAGGAAGCAGCCCGCAGAGTGTATGAGCTCAACAAAAAAAGCGACGGAGTTGTGCTCAAGAAGAAGGAACTGCCAGAGGTTGTGCAAAAACAGATTGAGGCTGCCCAGGATCATTTAGAAGACTATGAGCACGACGATAGATATGAGTACCACTTGGCGCAGCTGGAGAGCAAGATTAAAGAGATTAACGAGAGTAATCCGTTGTATCATATCAACAGCTCGAGGCCAGAAAAGTCCAGGAACGATAGACAGCACAAGGACAGGCATCGTCGGAGCAAGGAGTACAGGAGTGACAGGGTGTATCAGAGGGACAGGAAGAAACAGGACAAGAAGTACGAGAGGGCAAGTGTGACGGCATACTTTGAAAGAGTGCCCAAGAGAAACGAGGATGTGATTGAGATGCTGCAGGAGGAGAGGAGATTGAAAAGGCAGTCGTCTGCTGCGAGGGGACATTGGCAACAGCATCACATGCCCATGGGCAGCATGACGGATGCTCACACGGCGCATCAGGAGCAGCAGAGAATGAATGTGCCACAGGCGCAGCAGCAGACGAATGCGAATCCAGCCATGCCGCAACAGTTTCGACCAGCGGCGCAGCAGCAGCAGCAGCAGCAGCAACATCCTCCACCTCCTCAACCTCCTCAGCCTCGCCCGCCGCAACATCCCCAACAGCAACAACCGCCTCCGTTCCGTCAACCACCACCGCCACCACAACCACCACAACATCCTTTCCCTCCCCAAGGCCAGCAAATTCCCCGGCCTCCAGCAGCACCACAACCGCAAGTAAACCAGCAGCCACCGGCGAGGCCCATGCCGCCCCGAGTGCCAGTGCCCCCCCAAGTGCCTCCCCAAGTGCCGCCTCAAGTGCCACCGCAACATCCGCAACAACAACGACCATCGCCACCCGTACCACAAATCCCCAGGAATATCAACACGGCCCCGGGTCCGAGCCACCAAGCTCGCCCCAACACGCCACACAACCTGCGGCCCTTCACACCCAACCGCGACATCAGACCTGGCGGCCAGCAGCGCGCCCGCCCGGTCTACGCAGAATCCCCTCCCAGCCCACACAGCTCCCAGGACTCCGTCACATCCTTCGACAGCGACTACTCGTCCGACGAAGGGGACTACACCACGCCCCAGTCGTCAGTCGCCTCCGGCAGCCGGCACCCCCGCACCCGCCGCTCCCCGTCCAAGCCCCGTCACGGCCGTCGAGACCGCCCCGAGCACTTCGGCATCGACGCCCCTCCGCAGAGGCAGCATTCCAAGCGGGACAAGGACCACGCCATGCCGCCCTCACCACCCTCCACCTCGTCCTCCCCGCGGCAGCCCGCGTTCGAGTACTTCCAGAGGGGGTACCAGATGGGAAAGGAGGACGGCAGGCAGCAGAACCGCCCGGTGGTCGTACAACCCCCTTCCCCGCGCGCCGTCCCCGCGCGCAGGGTGAGACAGGCCGTCCACTTGGACCAGCCGGACGGCTTGACCTACAGCATGGGGCAAATGCGCATCGCGGACCATCTTCGCGGGGAGCGAACCTACGGGAGGGACAGGGACCCCTATTACCCCTCTGCAGAGGATGACTTCCAAGGGGGCAGGAGATATCCGAGCCGGGCATCTCGACGGAATATCTTTGACGACGAATATGACGACGACTTTGGCGACCGGCGAGGGAGACGATATGCGAGCAGACTGTCCAGAGGGGATATCGTGGACGATGTATATGATGATGATGATCGGTGGGTGTCGCCGACGGCTTGGGAGTATACAGTTAGGAGGGACGGCAGAGACGACAGGTATAATCCCATGATGTCGGTGGGCGGCTACCGACCCGGCCAGCTGTATTAATGAGCCTGGTGTTTGGATTAGTGTATGGATAATTTGTATTAGTGTGCTTGGGGGTTCTTGGGTAATGTGCGTGGGTGAGATTGACTTGTGTGGCCGACGGACAAAACAGCAGAATTGTACCAAGGGCGGGGTCGTTTAATTTGTACTAAAGAAGGAAACACAGCTCCTTGTTTTACTTGAATGATTAATTTTTTCCCTATCAAGCACATCTCTTTAATTCCTCGTGACGGGGTAGGTGGGCTAGCCTTTGCAACGACTCCCTTTCCAAGGTTGAGTTTAGTCGAAGCGAACCAGGGTCGTGCCTTTTTATCTGTGCGTGTTTCGACACATGCAGCCACGAGCCTTTTGGGGACTGTGTATAAATCGCCCAACTTGCAAAAGTGTTGCTCGCTGGACCGTCACGCAGACAGTGGCACCGCAACGCATTCGATTTTCGACGCGACCCGAGAAAATGGCATTGATTGCTTGCGATGGAAGCACATCCCTCGGCTCGTTTTATTGACTTCCAGTACACGATGAGATTGTCGAGCACGTCGCTATACCGCCGGCTACAGCCCAATATGGTAATTCATAAATACAAGACTCACAACACGCCTCGTACACGGCCAACGCCCACGAACCCGCCCGAGCATCAGGAATTACGCCAAATAGGTATATGAATTATCCTCTCGCTCAAGGTAATCCTTCTCGATGAGACTACTGCCATTAGCACACCGTCACACAACCGACCACCGGATAAAACGGGGACAACATACCTCTCGATTTCCTTCTTGATGGAGGCGGGCTCGACACTTCCTCGCTTCTTGGTCAAATTAATGACCTCGGCGACGAGTTCGGCATGGCCCATAGACTTGCGGCTCTTCATGATTCGGACAATGGCGGCCTGCGTCTCGAAGCGTCTATCTTGGGCGATCCTCTCGTGGGTGGCCTTGTTCTCTTCCTTGGTCTCCTTGAGCTGAATCTGGTTAATCTTGACGCGATACTTGGGGTCGGAAAATGCTTGGTTGAAGGTAAAAGTGTCGGTGGGGTTGACTTCTCGCCCTTTGGGGTGTTTGGTGATGACGCGTGCCTTGCCACATGCGAGAGATTGCAGGGTTCGATCCAAGTCGCCGCCCTGGAGGCCGGTCGCGGCGGATATTTGTTCGTAGGTGAAGAAACCGGCCGCAGGCTCCTTGTTGAACATCATCAGGACAACGGCCTGGAAGGCTGACACGAGAAGTTCCTTGGTGCCCTTGGGGAACGATGCCTTGATAGAACAGTGCGCAAGGGAGTGCTTCCATGTCAGCACTCTTCCTGTGTGCTTGCTCTTGTAATGCTTGTCGAATCTCTCGATTTGAGTGGCTACTTCGTCGGGCAAGTTGAGCCGCGTGTCAGGGTAGGTCGGCCAAGCTGAAGCAGACAAAATCATGACCGACAAGTCTACGGGGGCCTTGTGCCTCTGGTTCGTATTGCTCCACTGCCTGTACGATTCCATCTCATCCTTGGCAAGTTCCTGATCTTTGAACATTTGCTCCAAGTTGTGTGTAAAGTTTGATCCGCATTCGCTGCGCAGCTTTGTCAACATGTTTCGCTCTGCATCTTGACTTGCACTACGGCCCATCAACAGCCGCCGCGCCAGGTCCTTTTTGTAGAAGGCCTCAAAGGCATCCTTGCCTTCAATGAATCGGAAAAGCTCGAGTGCCTGGTCAAGCTGCCTGTCCAACTCGGCATCCTCGTCTGCTGTGCTTGCCTGGCCTTCCCTCTCTGCCGCTGCTCGATCCTTGGCATCGGACAGTAACTCCTTGGGCAGAGCTTTCAATCCGCCTCGAAGCAGCATATCTATGTATTTGGCAGTCATTTCTCCAATCTTGGACGTGTTCGTGTCCCAGCAAGATGCTATCTTGCGATCGTTCATAAACTTGCCAAACGCCTCTCGCATGCCCCATAAGAAGTCTTCGTCTTTTTGGAACGCGTCCCGAATCATGAGGTCCAATGACCGTCTAAGTTCTAACAGCCGCAGGACCATTTCATCCCCTCTCTCCTTTTCTGATATGATGGCAGCGCCGGTTTGTCGGATATATTCAGTCCAAGGATTCTTCATCTTCTTTTGAATGTCGGATAATCGTAATAGGTCATAGAGCCCCTTCATGGACTTGACGTCTCTATCGGATAGCAGGTTTGACAAGCTGTCGCCGTGCAGTAACTTTTCCGAGTATTGATCGATGAGAATCTTGTGCGCTGAATCCATGAGCTGCTTGACGGTGGCGCTGTCAAAGTTGTACGCCATGCATCGGTGGTCTTCTCGGCTGAGAAGATTCTCGCATGCTGCGATATAGCCCTTGAGGCTGGACGCACTCCATGATTCGCCAAATTCTTCAAAATACGAGACGGACTGTTTCAGAAAGACGGGCTCAAACTGTTTTACGTAAACGCCCAACACGTATATCATGCGAATGGATTCCTTGAGAAGATACGAGTCAAGTCTTTCGTCGCCTCGCCGGTCATACTCGATCATCTCGCACACTCCGGCAATAGCCTTTTCGCCAGGTAAACTGCCGTTGTTTTGCGACGACTGCGGAAATGCCATTCGTCTAAAATGGCTGATGGCCATGTCGTTGATGGATGGGAGTGACTCTCGAAGCAAATATGTCCTGTCCAAGTAGCTAAACGTTGATCGGAGAGTGATTGCTTGTGCATTCCATACGTTCCATTCTCCCCTAACACTTCGTAGCACCTCAATGTTTGACTGCCCGCCGGTACGTCTTATCCGTGGCAAGACTACTAATTGCAAATGATGATCGATGCGCTCCTTGAGCAAACGATAAACTTTTGCAGCACCGCCCCTGCGACAGACATCTTCGACACCACGATACAATCGCTCCAAGGGCACTGCTGGTCTTCTATCAGCAAATATGGCTTCCAAGGCTTCCTCAAGATCCTTTTCTGTCCGCGCGTAGTATTCTTCTACTTGTGCTTCACGGCTAGTGGGCGCTCGAAGGTTCTTGATGACCAACTTCTTGGCTCCGCTATATGGCTGGAACGCGGACGGCTTCTCGGTCAGGTCAATGATGTCTGGCTTCTTGCCTCTCGCCCTGACGGTCGCCATAGCGGGAGACTCGGCGACCCGAGCCCGCTTGGGGTTGACTGACGATGCAGATGGAGATGTAGAGAGACGCTGCCGACGGCGGGATGAGGTCGAATCGGGCGTTCCGGATGCGGATGGCATGGATCAAAGAGGCGCGGTTCCGTAGGAAATGAACAGCGAAGGGAAAACGTATGGGTGATGTTGTGTATCGGGGGTTGTTATCGGAAGAAGCGCTGAATGTTGGTGTTTCGAGGTACGAGTGAACCAAAAGTTGCTTTCACAGCACCGGAGAACGCGCTTTTAACCCTTTTTGAAGTCGTTAGGAATACAAAAAATCGAATCGTTATACACAAGCGCGTGCGCAAGGGTGGAATTGAGGCAGCGGACTTGACGAGGCGGGGGACGCTGGGTGAGCTGGATGATATGTCATCTTGGGAAGAGTCGAATCTCTGGCTTGCATGCAGCTCCATCAGTGATATCTGGAAGGAGTATCATAGCTTGATCTGATTGGGTGATAGGGTGTGGCAGGGTGGATGCCGACGTGACATCGGACCCGAGATTGGCCAGCTCCAGCTCGAGTTGGTGACGAGACGACATCCAGCTGGCGGTCTGGTTCATTCAGACATGGGCACGGAGTTAAGGCACTGTGGCCACTGGAGATTAGTGGTGGTCGCTGGGGCAGTACTTGACCGAGTACCGTCAACGGTGCATACTTACTTAAGTACTTAAGTAAGTAGGCTGGCGGGTAAACTGACCAGCAATTTGAATATAGCATGTAAATTAGGTACCAGATCAGAAGAGAGAGTCTCCTTGTCCGGGGCAACTGCTGCCTCCTCATCTCTATTTCTATTTCCACCGGATAACCTCTTCTCCCTCTCCGTTTTGACCACGAACCATCAGAATCATCACGAGCACATACCGACCCCGTCTGAATGCCGACAAGAGAAAATCCTAAATCTATCCGAAGACGCAGACATTGCCACGCTAACTTTAGTCTTTCCAAAGCACCTACACCGAATGCTGAACAGACATGGAACAAGGCTCACATAATGGAGTCGGACTATGGATGCCAATCGGAAATATTTCAAATTCAAAACTACCTCATCCAGCACACCCATCATGGATCCTTTCACCCTCCAATTGCATCAATATGCAATGTGCAAACTACGCGGCTAACCGGCAACAAAGTTGACAGTCAACTCTCCATTGCCAACATTGTTACCAGGATCTGTAGGGATGCTTCCACAGTTTTTGCACCCGTGGGCCCTCAGTTGATCCAAATAAGCAACACTCTGCTGCTTATTGAATGACCGGCCTCCAATGTTCTGATAAAATGCGCATAGCTGCCCCGTGACATGTGCCACACAGGCAATATGCTGCCCGTTGGTCCAGCGCCCGTCAGGACCGGCTGCAACAGCATCACGAACCTGCTCAAGCGTGCCAGCGGGACTATGGCCGATGCCACCGACACCACAGGTTGAGCTACCACGGCAGTTGATTCCAAGGGCGCGCGCAAGGATAGCAGCCGAATCTTCGGCCTTGGTGACAGGCTCGGGCTCCTGCATCTCCTGACGAGCCTCTTCACGTTTGGCAATTTTGTTGGCCATGTCCAGGCCACGACGAGCTGCGTTTGTCACCATATTAGCGGTAAGTTCACCGTGCTTGACGTCGTTTCCTGGATCGGTAGGCACGCTGCCGCAAGCAGCACATCCGTGGTCAAGGAGCTGCTGGACAAAGTTGACCGTCTGGGCAACTGTCCACCTGCGCCCGTTGGTGTTTTGATAGAAGATGCAGAGGGAAGGATTTCCGATGGTGACTGAGGACTTGACGCAGGTGATGTGTTGACCGTCAGAGAACTGCTGGTTTTGGTCCATACCCCGGAGTTGGCCTTGGGCTTGGCCGAGGATGCCTTTGTTACTCGCGCAGAGACCGCTGCCCCGGCAGTTTATTCCAAGGGCAGACGAAGTTCCCATTAGAGCTGCAGCGAAGGCTAGAATTGCGTTGGTAGTGACCATTTTGGCTGTGTGAAGGGCGAGTCTGTATAGGCAAGGTTTGAGGGAGGAGGCGTAATTAAAAGAGGATGTGGTCGAATGCCCCGATGCTTATCAGCTAGAAGAGAACCAAGGCTGTTTATATAATTTGTCGTCTGCCTCTAAATGACCATTAACCTCGCCATCGAACACCCTTGCTCTCACGCCCTCTTCACACCGGTAATCCTCACTTCACTTCGCTTCATCATAAAGCTGTCACTGGCTTTCGGCCCGGTCAGCAGTGGACACAGTTCAACTACTTGTTCCAAGAAAAATTAGGACTCGCCTCCAGCGGTATTCACGGATCACGTCGGCTGCCTCGAAATTCCCATTACCGAATCATGTGGCTCGACATCCATCACATCCGCTCCCAGCCAGGCATGTTGCAGTAAGCTTACAGAAGGCGCAAAATTAACTACTAGGTAGTTGGTTTGACTGGAACGTTTGGAGCCGATGGAGGCGGTGCGTAGTGGATGGGTATTAATTTTCCGGTCGTTATGTGTGAGGACGTCTGACAAGCGGAGCGGTTGATTTTGTGTTACTATGCTGTATTTGGCAGTTTATGTCTTGGGCAATAATTCGTAGCTGACCTGTCTTAGATGTTTGTGACAGTATACGTACGTCCTGATGTGGACTGATACTCCGCGACGACATGTCCGGTTAACTAACATCTTATTATGAGATTAGCACGCTCTGTTAAAGGCATTATTAAACCATATAACAGCACCCCATATCCCACGATACATAGCTATTACATTTAATTTTTAGCCCATATTTTCAAGCCCACCATATTATGGTTTTCTTTTATATCCTTACCGCCCAATTCCACATCTACCACTGTTATCATGTGGCTTGTTCCCCTCGTGCACATTGATCCCCCTTTCCAGCGCCAACTACCGAAACCAGCCCACGGCCTCGGCAGCTCCGGCCATTAATTTGGCTTCGCTGACAGGTATCCCCCGCTTACTTGGTGTGGAGATCTCGGCGAACTGGCCGGGGTGTTGTATTTCCACTAATCACCGTGTTGGGCGCAGCTCTTCCTACTTGGCGTGTCGGATCTGGTGGCTCTGCCGAAATTTGGACCCTGTGATGCTGCCAGTGCCGAGCACACACGGTTCCGATTTGGCCATAGTATTTTGTTCATCTAGTTGGATTGCCAAAGCGGCGACGAGGTGCTTTCAGAGCGGTGCGAGTGTTGATCCATGGACGGATTGATGGTGTCTCGCGAGAAATTGAGTCCGACGTTGCTGGCTCTGTCGAGACGCAGAATGTGCAACTAATGACTAGCTCTAATGAGCAAGCGCACTCGGGAAGCGTGATGGCAACGAAGAAAACGTAGGCAGTATAGAAAAATGAGTGGATTTTTAAATAAGAGCGCTTGAGTTTGTACATGTTCAGATCTATAAGGCATTTGACAACAGAATGGGTATCTCCTAACACGCTCGCTCTAGTTCGTCTATTAAAAAAAAGATGGTGAAAATCTTTGACCATGCATTTACGCATATGCAGCCCATCCTAAGAAGCCTCATGTCAGCCAACGTTTCCGAATTTCTCTCTTGTCGGAGTTTCTTACCAGAGTACAATACGGCCAGGTTACGCTCATCTGTAGCCATGTTAATCAAGTCATTGACTGTTGCCGTTACACTGAGAGTCTTTGACAACTTCTTTCTCACAACCTCAAGTGCTCGATCTGCTTCAGAAGGCTCGTTCGTCCGACCATTTTGCTTTTTCGCCTTCTTTGCCTCTGCCGTGTCGCTAGGTTCCGGCTCCTCTCCGCCGCCCTCTTCGTCTCTGGCTTTCTGGAGCTTGGCTAGTCGGAGCGGCGATATTGACCAAGTGTACAGAGGGTCGTATCGCAGGACATCCAGAATGGTCATGATTGAGTACTGCTCCTCCCGCAATGCATCAAGTGTGAATTCGCAGCAACGCCTGAAAACACCTTCGGTTTTGGTGATTCCCATACCGTCTACAATGTCTCTAGTCAGCCGGAAAGGGACCAGCTCGGGCACTGGGAGAATACGGCCAGCTTCGAAGGCCACACCAAGATCAATGTGTACAGCCTCACCAGTCCGGGAATCTAGAAGAATGTTGTGGCCATGACGGTCACCCAGTCCAAGAACGTGGCCCAGCATAGAAATCGCTGCAGTGCTCCGTGTATATGCCAATCTTCGGACGAACCATTCATCCGGATCGACAAAGTACTCCATGAAGAAATATCTCATTACGGGATGAAATCTGTCGGTCACTTTGCGGTACGTGCTCAGACGCGTTTCAGTTGTTCTGTTCTGGACATTGAAAATCTCTTTACGGCACTGTGAACCCTTTAGATCCCTCGGGTAGTATCTCTCATGTGCTGGCATGAGGAATTCATGCAACGGGATCGTGTTTGGGACGAACTCGATTAGACCAGATGATGCCGTAAGTGGCAAGACTTTGTAGGTCCTGATGCCAAGATTTCTTTGTTGCGTGCTTCGGTGCAGCTTCAAAAGAGAAGATACAGCGGCAAACACTTGCTCCATGATTGCGTCCTGTCGCAGATCGTCATGGCCGCCCTTGACCAACTGTTTATACCTGATCCCATTGGTGCCGACAGCCGTAATGATCTTTGGTGCACTGACTCCCGACGCAATTGTCATTGTGGGCTCCAGCTTGGATATAAAGGGAACATCGGAGTAGTCCTTGGTGACTGAGACCTCAACGTGCAATGTTGGAGGAGGAATACGATATCGTGCAAGGTAATTGACCAGGTACTGGCCTGCTGCAGAATCCTTAAGCGGAATCTTGGCTCCAGACTTGTACTTGTTAGGGTTTCTTTCCATTGCGAGGCCGTGGTAGTATTTGCTCGTCTTATCAATTGATAACCAAATATTGGCGACTGACTTGTTTGCGGAGAGTCTTTGCGCAACTTTCTCTGTTGCTCTAACTCTCTGTACAGCCACGTCATCTTTCTGCTGAGCTCTAGCTTTCGTTCCTGACCAAATCTGATACATCCCGTGGTAGGGATGGTCAACACAGATGGTGTAAATGAGCTCAAAGAGCAGTTTTTGGAATGCACCCTCCTGGCTTTGAAGCCGAGAGGTCAGCTGATTCATCAATGGTGCAAACTTTCTCGTGGGGACAAGGGACAAATGTTTCATGACGGCCTTATTTGTTGAATCCTCAGCAGACCTCTCTAACCATAATGCCGTGAAACGCAGCGCATCATTGTCCCAGTCATCCGATGAGATAAGCGAGAGCAGATAATTCTCCAAGCTAAGCTGAACAAACTCACTTCGTGTTTGCTCTACTCGTTTCAACTCCTTCTCGTCAAGCTCTAGCCACTGCTTCTCTTTGGAGAGGACGTGTGCATACTTGGCTTTTAGTTGACTGTCTTTGGTCGAGTCAATAAGAGTCTTGAGATCCTTGACTTCATCGTTCTTGGCTGCGCGCAAATTTTGCAATCTTGCCAAGTCCTCGAGCCCGTCTGGGTCCTGCAGTTGTTCATCGCAGAAGGTAGCAAATTGATGATAGACCGATCCCGCCTCACTGCTGCCTTCTCGTTTTAACTCCTTCAGAGCTGGCGCAAGATAAGTTTTTTGAATGTCGTGAGGGTTTTCCAGGCGAGCCAGGGACACCTTGTGTCCAATCTTGGAAAAGAGGTCGGACCTATTGACCCGAATGCTCTGTTTTGGTAGCGATGACTCCTTGTCAATTGCTTGTAGCATACGAATTGAGGTTCCCATCTCACCGTGATCCCATAGTGAATTGGCGACTTCAATTTTGATGGCGGCATCAACGTGCAAATTCAAATGTTCGCATAATGGAATCATATCAGAGAGTGCAGTTGCAATATTAAGGGACTCCTGAGTCGCTTGGTGGTATCGGTAGATTCCAGATGACAAAATCATTGACTCCACTTGCATTTGCCGTAATACATCTGCTGACATCTTGGCATGTTTTAACAAGCCGATATGCTGGCAAAGCATACTGATTGATGTCTCTCTGCAAGATAGAACTTGACCAACATCGCCGTACCTGTGGCGATTAGCATTATATGCAGTGTGGGGTGTGCTCTCTATCACTCACATTCCACTTCGCATCCATTCGGAGCGGTTCTTGAACTTTGTTATCATGCTGGGAATCTCGGACGGGTCAGAGATATTCAGCATGTCATCTAGTTCCGTGAGAGCTGCTAATGCGGCCAGCCGGCCCCTAAGAGCCGTTGCATTGAGGTTGCAATTCGCGATGTTTTTCATAATGCCACCGAAGCCTTCATATATGGCGTTTTGAACATCTGACAAGACCGTGGAATTGTGAATACTTTGGTACGCTTGGTATAAAATTACAGCGTGGTGTTCACAATTTCCCGGCGCAGGCAAGTTCCACATCTGCAAACGCCTTGCTGTGGTAAACGTATTGTCAACAGATGGATTGCTCACCCCAAGACTTTCCTGAGTTTGAAGTATCGAGTGAGCTAAGCCAGAGAGCCCCAACGTTCCCAGCGCTTTAACGAGAGCTTGGCCATCTGTTTCTGCCTCTCGACGCCGCAGGCGAATATGGCTATCATACTGCGCACCTCGAAAAGCAAGGCTCTTTGATCCTTCATTTTCATATTCCACTCGAGCAACAACCTTTGACAAGCTTGCATCTTCCGGTAGACCGTAGTACGTATCGGGATCATCAATATTTTCAAATATGGTCAGCAGTGTGTCGTTAATGTCGTGTTCTCGGTGTGCCGAAGATCTCCGAGATGATCGTGAAACCTCGGAGGAAGCCAATTCCGCGAAGAGCAGAGCCGTCTTGTGCATGCCACATCGAGACGCAGAAGCGGCTGCCGCTGCATAATCTATGTCGAGCCAGTGCATTCGATCTGCAATAGACGACTCCTTGGGATACTCCTGCGTGCGGAGGTAAAGGATGGTGTTAATCAGCAGCTTCAGGTTCTGTGTTGCCGTTGGCCTTTCGTCCCGTAGCCACTCCTTCATTGCCGATGAAAATTGTCGTTTGGCCGCTTGCTGTTGCTCAAGTTGGAAACACAAAACTAGATGCACAATAAAAGGGAACGCCTTTTCAGTAAACCCCGGTACCTCGGTTAAGATTGGTCTCAAAACCGATAGCAATATTGAATCTGAAACAGTCGAAGCCAAATGAGTACTGATCCTTCGCAGCCAGCTTGGAGATGAAATATTGTCTTCCCAGACGGATTGCCCGCCGTCTAATTTTGAGTTCTGTGTAGCCTTCATATCTGGAGAACAGAAGCTACCCCATTGTGAGGCTGTGAAAAGGCTCTCAGATAAGCTTCTTTGACACGCGACAATCAAAGGTTCATCCTCATGTTCTAGCGCTTGCGAGACTGCCTTCCGTAGTGCTGCCTCTGCCAACCCAGCCACCATTGAATTTTGGTCTGCTGTAAGATCTTGCAGGAGATATAGTAGCCCCATCTCTGATCCATTGGGGCTTGGAGCAACGTGTCCGTAAAAACTCAGGCCGGATTCTTTAAGCACACCTTCTGGGATATCTCCAGATGCAGCAAACGAGCGGCCAACAACACGTCCTGCCCAAGACAGATAATTTTTGCTAAGGTCTTGCGCTTCACAGCTTTTCCACACACTTGACGCCTGCTCAGTAGCAGCAGTATCAGTTTCGACAATATCTTCTCGAATTGTGGCTGGTATCGTGAAGTCTCCGCAAAGTAGCTTTAACGCAAGTTCGCGGGATGATTCATTTAGCAAGCGACTTCCAGTGGCACCATCTCTCAGAATATCAAGAAGTAGTTTACTCTCTGATGTACCTTTCTCAGCGTTGCCGGATGATCTTATGTGGGCTGCGGAGTAAGTTATCGACTTGAATAAATTAGATTGTTCGTCATCTTGAAAAGCGGGTGAAATGTATTCAGACAAGTATTTACTGAACCAATCGTGGAACTTTTGCGTCTTATTCATTGTGGCTTTGAACTGGCTCTCTTGGGTTGTGCTGGACTGGCTTAACTCGAGAAAAACGCGTATAGAAGCGAGAGTAGATAAAGCATATCCCGCGAGGAAGGACGGTTTCTGGGTCAGATATTCTCGCCCCCCAGACAAAAGATATTGGGTCAAACCCAGGGCGTCGTCAGCGCATTCTGCATCGACTATGAAAACGCGAACCGAGTTGAGTAACATTTCGAGGCAGTATGATTCCAGCGCCACTGGACCTGCCAGGCAAATGAATAGTCTGACTTTTCGAAGAACAGAGCAAGCGTGGAGGGAGCCCAGGGCTGGGTGGACGGTGTTGAACAAGCTTCTTGCCACTGACAGAACCAACGCAGGCGTCCACAGGTCTTGAAATTGGAACTCGGTGCCTTGGCAAAGCCTGAAAATATCGTGAATAATATATTTGGCTCGAAACATGGGCTGCTGATTCGGTGGAAGCTTACTGGACGAGCAAGCCAACTTCTTGATCGCTTCCAGATTGTCTGCTGCATAGGAGATGTCTTCGTGTTTTCGAAAAATCTTTTCAAGATTATCTTCTTGGTCGATTAGATCAAAAAATGTTGCAATAGTATCAACAAGATTGATGTATATTGCTTCCACGTAGCTTTTACCTCCCATCTTTTTTCGAATGTAATCTTCGCCCTTCTCATTACGGGTCTCACTGAAGGCATCTCCATAGGCCATGCTGTACGACAAGGCGGTGGAAAAGTTTCGCTTGATCAAATCTCCTTCGGTCGTTCCAAGCAAATTGGCTAAAACAGCAATGGTTGACTCCTGAGTTCGCATGACCGCCAACGCAATAGCCTCCGCCTGAGCAGATCGCAAGAGATCTTCCAAATCGTCAAACCCGAATATAGCAAAGGGGATGTCGTTAATGAAATCATGTTCCATCCAGGTGTAGAGCAACTGACGCGAGAACAGTCGGAAAAGCTCTTTCGGTGATTTCAACTTCAGCGTACTTGATATATCGGCAAGACACCACTTTGCATAATCAATAGACTGCGAGATCTTTCCTGGAGTCTCGAATATGTGATATATGCATCGCCGCAGTAGAGTTGGCCATCTACAGGCCAACTTGGATAAAGCAAGAAGCCTGAAGGCAATACCGGACGTGTCTGCAGGATTGGTTGGCAAGCTTGCGAGAACATCGACAAATATTTCATCATGGAGCATCAATATAAACAAATCAAATATTCCAGCAATTCTGTCAGCCACGAAGCACTTCACTTGCATCGAACCAGTGCTAAGAATGTTGAGTAATGACGTACGACATGAAGCCAGACCTAAGTTGGTGCCGTACCCCGGGTTTGCGCTGAGCAATGAGAAAAGCAAACGCGCCATTGACATTTGAGCCTTGGCAGAGAAGAAATTAGAAGGTAGGCACACCTTGATAAAATAGTTGTATAAATCACCGACGCCCTCCGCGAGATCTTGATTATCATTCAGCCAGATATTATGCAGTCCATCAAGGACATCTATGCACGTCGTAAGCGCCACCTCGCAGCATTGGTAGTCAGACGTAGAGATAATTGATCCTAATCTTTGTATGATATTGTATGCGCTCTCTGAGCCCACAACCAAATCAGAGTTGGAAATTTCCAATAGTAGAGCCTGACAACACAACAGGTCATCGTCAGACATCAGCAGCAAATCGTCAATCCACACTTCGGGAAGCAGATCATTCTGACTTGAGTCATCATGGATGGCACGAAGCAGCCCTAGTCGCATTCTTGTCTCCACATGGAATACTCGAGGGCTTGTAGATAACTGAGCATTTTGCCTCGGTACAGGCATAGGGTTCGAAGCAGACGTGGCCCTGCTGCTCTGCGAGTCAAATTCGTCGTCGAGATCCATCAGACCCAAGCTTATACCAACACTTGTGCTAGACTGCCTATGATCAATTACGCTTGAAATTGTGGTTAAAATATGGAGAAAGGAGGAGTGGTGCGAATACGATCTGTTCAAATCGACAGTTGTCATACCAGGCATACAAGGCCGTACCACTCGCAAGGTGGCCTCCACAAAGGCCTCCGGTTCGACAGAGTCTAACGCGACTACCAGGCTTCGCTCCACTAGATCAACAAGGTTGGATTCAATTGAGGCTGATTGAGGCGTGTTCAAGTCGGCAAACTGGGGGAGCAGAAGCGACCCAACGATGCAGGCAGATAATAAGCTCTGGAATCGATCTAAAGAAATCTGAGTCCCACCATCGCTGGGCTTCTTCAACCACGTATTGCACAGTTCGACCAAATCATCAAATTTCGGAGAAAAAAGCTCAAAAGCAAGCTTCTTGGACGGGTAGAAACTGTGCGGATCTGCTGCAGGCTGAAGCTGTCGACCGGAGTCTGAACGGTAGATGCATGGCTGAATGCTGTAGCTTGATTCTCTACGCTTCAGTAACAGCAAATATTCATTAAATTTCGCCATTTCGTGTTGCGTTCTCCATGTAGCCCCCAGAGACGTCCCTGAACTAGCAGCTGTTTCATTCCAGCGCAATGACTGGACGCCGCAACATACTCGAAGCAGGTTAACGAGTTCTAGAGGCTGAATGAGAACCGAGACGGAGGATGCAAAGGCTGATTCGTCTGAATATATTATTAAAATGAATGTAACAACTGCAATTGATGTGATTTTGTGGAAGATAACTCACTTGGATTCCATTTCAGAAATACCCATCTTATTATATGATTAGATGTTGCCTGACTCGCACTGGGCAATCGTGCATTACGAGCATGTAAGAGATGAAGCATTAGGGCAAGTGAGGTATCACAAACCAGGCCAGGCCCATTTACATCAGCTGTTGTGACGATACCGTCGATATCCTCTGAAATAGTATTATATGGAAGTAAATCCATCTCAATGATTCGGTGCAGAAGCAAACAGGCTGACCGGCATGTTGTGGGGACACTAACCGATCTCACAGCCAAATGCCAGAGCTGTTTCCATTGGTCTCCATCCGATTCATTCGTCCGAGGCAACGAAGTACAACTGAGTTTGTTAGCTTGCGTTCACACATTTCATTCGAATTGCCTTACCTGGCTGATGCGACCAAGGCCCATGATGCTGTAATTTGATCTTTGTTGGAAACACATGCGACTAGATCGTCTAGGATCGAGGTGAGATCTTCGCCTGCAATGCCGAAACCTTCGACCAGAAAAGGCAATAACTGAAGCGCAGTTCTCTGAGTCCCAACGTCTCTTGATCTAAGTTTTAGTCTAAGTCGGCTCAGGCATTCTCGAGTGCGTTGTCGCTTTCGTGGTTGCTCGCCGTTATCCGCAGTATCCCTTGCGGAAATGCCGCCGCGCTTCAAGAGAATACTCTCTAGGAAGGAAAGGTTCTGCACAAGTGCCCAGTGGCTTTCCCCTTCGGAATTATGGTTGCGTATTCCGAACAAGTTCAAGTGCATAGTGCCACTTGGCAGGGTCCACTGGTTGAAAGTAAGATCGTGCAGCTGGAGCCGGAACGGTTCACCTCTTTTGGAGTATTCCTGCCATAAGGGATCCACAAGATTCTCGATATCATTTCGAATCTCTTCATTCCATTCGTTGGATATATGCTCAATATGTGGATGTGCCAGATATATTGTCTTGGAAATCTCATTTCGCAACCCCTTTATGAGCTCGTCTTGGGAGACCTTCTCGGCCCTCCACCAATAGCTCATCAATGGTAGAAGCTTCTTCACCAAAGAAAGTGCGTATTCAAGATCTTCAGCTTGGGTCCGTACAAATACTGTATTGCAAATTGAGAAACACATTGCTTGCATAGATCCAAGACTAAGGTGCTTCATGTCAAGGACGCGAAGGGCTAGTTCCGTAACGTTTCTCCCTCGCCGTCCTATGGGTGCATTTGATGCTTGACTCAAATGCTGGAGACCTTCGAGAGCATCTCTGAGCGGCTCACCCTCAGCAAGGCCTGCTCGTTTTTGGCTTTGATTCGAGTTATTAGATCGAATGGTGGAGCGTGGTGTCGAGGCATCTGGAGCAGGAGAGGGGCGTGCCACAGATATCAAGCTACTGTGAGCTTCACTGGGGATAATGTAGGCGGCTATATCAAGTAGAAAGTCGACGCAAGCTTCCCAGGGTTTTGCATCTTGCCTGGCCAGGAACTCAACATGCGGCTGGCGTGAGAGCACCTCCGACAAGGCCTTGACATAATCTTGTATCAGGGGTGCAACAAAATCACCATCTGGGTCCGGTAAAATTTGCGTGATATGGTCTATAAGAGCTAACAGGGTTTTGCGTCCTAGTCGGGGGGCGCCTCTGGCAGCGGTCATGCGGATGGCCGAAGCGCACTTGGTCAGGCGGGCAGCGGCTAGCTTGCGAGCAGACTCTTTCTTGCTTTTGTCATACAAGGCGGGCCTGTCGCGTATCACAACATTAAAAAGGGCCTCGAATATTTGATGATAGCTCTTGTCACCTAGATCGCCACTTTCAATTGGTGAGATGGGCGGTACAAATCCATGACGTTGGGAGACAACATACAGATTAACAGTCCGATTCCTGGGATTCAATAGAGAAATCAACTCTGCTGTAGTTAGAAAAGGGGCGCAATTGGACAAAAGAGCCAATTCAACTCACCGTCTACAGCCTTGTCGCAAGCCTTGATAGACCCCGACTTGACGTCGCCTGGACAGATGGTTAGCCATGGGCCGGACGAGCTGGAAGCAAGCTGGGGGTATTACTGGTCAGGCTCATAACCGTAGACATATGTGAGGAAGCCATCTTGCTCAGACAGCAGAAAGCTAAGTGGCGCTGTTGTGGCTGTTTAAAATGAGATGAACGTCAACATTGCCGTAGCTGTTGATGTTCTGAACTAGACCGCGTGTGGATCTGGTTGATGAAGGCGATGGGGACTTATGTAACTGAGATGCGATCTTTGTCAATCGTCGACATGGTACAATCGATTATCCATTTCTCTGAATAATTAATGTCTTTCGTTACCCTTTGACCCAATTTACTGAAATCAGGGGTCCGTTTTCTGCGGATGTCTTTGCGCCAATGTTCCTGGTGCCTGGTGTCGCATTGAGTTGCGGGAAGCTCTCAGCTCGGAGAGCTCTGGGAAATCGACCCGGCAGAATCCACACCGCCTTTGTGGATGTTTACTTCGACCCGCACCTTTTTTGAAGCTGCGCCGATACCCAATCGTTGATGGTTTTGCTCGCCGCCAGCAGGGATGGGAGCAGCGAGGCTGCAGAATATCGAAAAAGACCGGTTGTGAACCTCGTTGCTGGACCGGATACGCAACAATCATCATCTGATCCCCAAGTCGTCTCTGCCGCCGTCGAGTGACAACGGTTTGTTCCCGCGCAATTCCTGATACTTCAACATGCGATAGCGCCTGCCCCCAAAATGGCCGAAGTTATGATTTTGGATGCATTGCAGGCCTTTCACCGAGAACTGGTGGCCCTGCGTAGCGGCTTTGGAGATGCAACTGAAAGCCTGAATAACGAACTACTGGTGCAAACGTTCGAAAAAGAGTTGGAGAAGCTCTGGGAATGCCCTGCCAAGAACGACAAGAGCCGGAACGTGGTTAAGTCAGGTAGGTTTCCAAAGCATGCCCTATGGCAAGTGTTGAACGCAAGACTGAACATTTCGCAGGGAAACTTTCAATTGAAGAACAAGAGTTTACCATCAACGAGAAATTTCAACAAGACGCGCTTTTATTGTCCGACGAACTCGACCTCGACGAAATCGAAGCTGCAAAATGCCTCCTCGAATCGCAAGATGACCCATCTGTTCTGGGTCGATCTCTCCTCGAATGTGGTATCATTCGCTTTCACCAACAGCGCAAATATACCTTGGACGCGTTGAGGCTACTGCTGGAATTGGATAGCACTGAAGACGATGCAGAAGAATCCAGGGCTCTGGAAACCATCAAGATGTTTGTAACGGCCAGGTTGTTTCAATCTCGACCAGGGGGGTGCAAGCGATACGTGCCATGTTGCATGGCAGCCATGGGGAAGATCAAAAGCTGGCTACAACGGCTGGCAGACAAGATTGCTGCCGCGCAAGCTCTGAGTCAAGTCAAGCCCGACCAGCTATCCGAAGAGGTAGAAACCATTGAGTTCTCTCGGGTGAGCTTGATACAGCAGCACGAGCTTTTGGGTGTTGTCCTCTGCCGTCTCGTTGAGAATAGACAAGCAGATGTGTCGGATTTTATGGACTTTGTCTCCACGCTGAAGAAGTTGGACAAGTACGATAATCTTCTTGGTTGGTATAAGCCCTCCACGAGCATGAATGGAATTTTCTGACGCAATTACTGACGAGCAACAGCACATTTGGTTCCTGCAATGGGAGCCTACATCTCAGTTTTCGGATCCACTGAAGGAGGCTATGATTTGATTAAAGTACGAGAAGTGCATAGCAAGCTCTTTCCCACCGCAGACGACTCGACTTGGCCGTTGCCACATTTCCATGCCGCATTCAGGGCCTGGTGGCTCGCCGAATATAGTGGCTTTTACCTTGATGATCCGCCTGAGGCAGCTATTCCCCCAGGAACCGACCTAGACGAAGAAGATCGCCAGCGATCGAAACAGTTCCTCGACGCCCTGAAAGATGGTGCCTTTGACTTTCTGCTCTCAGTTGCTGGAGATGTTAAACCGGCTGACTGGCACGACTCAGTTCGTGTGGGCATGCGAAATTGGCTCACAAGAAAGTCGTCTGCATTAACGGCCGATTCCGTGCAATTTGCGGGATTCTTTCAATTGTGCCTCATGTCACAAATTGAAGTGTTTGTAGATGCATTCATATCAAACCTCCCAGACGTCTTGAGAAAACTCAGGGTAGAGGAGGACGAGCAAAGACAACTTAGTCAGGCACATGAGCAAGACCTGGACTTGGAACGATTCCTCCTTATCATCGCTTACTCTTATGAAGGACGTGCAGAGGCGGCCGCGAACTTCTGGTCAGACCCCGACAGTAATCTTGCAGGCTTCATGCATTGGGCATCCAGGAGAGCTTCGACGCCCCTCGTCACAGCTTTTTGTGAAATGCTTCAAGCGATATCTGGAAACGATGATTGCGCCACGGCTGCGCACGAATTTCTCCTCGATGACGGCCACCAATCGTCGGGCAAAATGAGAAGATCTCAGTCATTGACTTGGACACAGATCTTCAGAGAGCTGGACTTCTTTTCTGACAAGATCAGACAAAAGCCTACAACAACACAGACATCACGGTACCGCAGTGGTAAGCCAGCTAGTGAACATGTCGAGACAGAGCCAGAATCGGCCATGATGCTTGAGTGTTATCTACGCTTAATGGCCAAGCTCGCTACTGAGAGTGAAACTACGCGGCTATTTTTACTTCTAAATGCAAACTACAACTTGGTCGACGTGCTATACGAATTAGCTAGCAGTTCAGTTCCCCCAAGACTTCGCGGGTGCGTTTTCATGGCACTCAAAGCTCTCATGTCTAGAAAGACCATACAAGAAAGCCACGCAATGTGGACTTGTCTGGAAAATTGGATCACTGGTGGTTATGCAGGACCTGCTGCAGGACCCATGAGACAAGCTCAACCCGCGCCTCTCATTTCGATGGATAGGATTCTGGATGAAATGAGCAGTGGATTTGAAGATCCAGAATCGTTCGTTCAGTTGCTGTTGTCACTTGTTTCACCGGCAATAGACAGTAGTCCCTTGAATGACACTCTGCCATTTCCTGAAACCCTGGGTTCGAATTCACGAAATCCTGGCGTCGAGGTCTATGTTGACTTCGTGATGGGATTGGTTTTCGCAAACAAAGCACAGGAGCTTCAGGACAAACACCAGTTGCGAGTGCTGAGGCTAAGTTGTCTTGATTTCATGCTGACTTGTTTGTCAACATTCAATGAAGATTTGATTGTGATTGCAAATGAAACCACAATCATGATTGACTCTGTCATCTCGACCACCGATCTTGCAACCTACGTTCGGAATCATCCGTTTGCGAGGGTCATGGAATGGATGTTCAATGACAAGGTCATGACGGCACTGTTCAACACAATTCACCAAGAACCTGCGGATGTGGGCAATGCCGCTCCCGACTCGCCCTTAATTCTCGGTATATTAAGAGCCGTTGAAGTAATTTCCAAAGTTCTTGACCTGGAGGCGACGTATCTTGATTTGGTGAGACCACTTATCAAAACACAACCCGGAGCTAGACGCCAACCTGTTACAAATGCTCCGTATGCCTCATTCCAGGATGGGCTTGTCACTAGACTGAATCTTGTTGTGGACCTTGGAAATTACTGCGGCATCGGACACCCAGCTCTTACCTTGGCCTGTCTCAAACTTCTGGAGAGAATGTCCTCATCATCAAAGATTACAGCAACTTGGTCAGGGTCTGGTCGCCATTCACACCGTAACAAAGCCATTGTGGCCATGGAAGCAAATAGCGAACATGAATCGATTTCACGATGCTTTTCGTCGGAGCTCATGGCACCTCTAGAAGCAGGACGCGAGGCGGAATCCCCAAACTACGTCACGAAAATCTACATCCTAGATTTCCTCCTCCAATGTCTCTCAACGACTCCAAAGGAACCGACTATTGCGCATTTGCTTCTTGGCTTCAAGTGTGGCGTGGACTCGGTCACGATTGAAAACAACAGTGCATTTTCAAATCAAACATCCTTATTCCACACACTTCTTCGGCTGTTGATGGAAATCCCGTCTGGAGATGCCGAGGGCATGAGACTATGGCTAATTGCCATCAAGTCAAGGGTGATGCGTATTCTCCACATTCTTTGGAGCTCACCTCTTTCGGCGCCTTTGGTGATTAATGACCTGAGAGAAAATGAGTTCCTGTTCCACCTTCTCATCCGCGAAACTGTCATTCAGCCTGAACTGCCTTGGGAAGGCCAGAACGTAGCAACATTACACTTCCCCGTTACCGACGGAGCCTCTACTCTCGTCGACTTTCTGACAATAAGAAGCTTGACGCTGGAATATATGGCCATGGAGTTGTGTATGATTTCTCAGGGTCGAATTCCCAGCACAAAGCGACGGATTTTCGAGGCTCTGAATGGAAAAGTCATAGGGGACGGCAACCAAGTCATACAAATACCAACTGTGTTTGACTTGTTCGATTTCCTGCTCCCGGAAGGGATCTGGGACATCCCGCCCCCTCCGATCCAGTTTTACAAAGACTTGGATATCACCATGTGCGTGGAAAATGATGCCGACGGAAATGCCATTCACAACATAGATCGCGTCAAGGAGATTCTTTTCTTCAAACGTGGAGAATCCCAGAGTCAGGGTAGCGTGGTATCTGTTCAAGACCTTGGCATCATTGAAAGGGAAGAAGGGATGATTTTTGAATACCTCGTTTCGAATAACCGACAGAAGCAGATCGCGACCCAATGTCTGAGAGTGCTGAAGTCATGGACCCGGTTGTTACTCGTCATGATTGAGTGCAATGATTTCAAGGGCACAGCTCAGACATCATTTTTCCTTCAGGCACTCCAGGCTGTGCTCCCTAGCCTTGAAGCATTTGCTTCAGACCGACCAAAGGAGGCTCTGGAGCTGGCGAAACTAGCCCGAGTATTGCTGTTCAAACTCGACTTGGGCAGCCAAGACATGTCAGATAAGCACAGCGGGTCGATTGGCAACCTGGTGAGCGACAAACTATACCAACTATTTCAGATTTGTCTGCAGGCAATTTCAAAGTGGGCCGGCACAGCCGAACTCCGGTCAGTCTATTATGAGATCTGCTACCGATATCTCACCGGCATGTCTGAGCAGGGTGCGCTGAGCCCAACCCGCCCCAAAACAACAAAGACTATTCAGGTGTACGGCGAGAGGCTGATCAACGTGATTTGCGACGATGCTTATTGCGGCGAGCCGACATATCAGGCGTCAGCCCTTGTTCTTCTAAACTCTCTCGTGAATGTTGGCCGACAAGAAAACGACAGTCATGTAATCGAGACCCTCAACAAGCTCAACTTTATTGGTATCCTGGTTGATTCCCTTCGCAACATCATGCAAGAATGGCACGACGCCTACACAGCCGGTAAGCTTTTGTGCCGTAATCAACGTGACGTTTATTTTGACCTCATCTAATCAACACCATCAGGCCACACCGACCAGCAAAATTACCAAAACGCCCGTCTTGCGCTGCTCCTCCAAATGGCCCAATCCCGCCATGGCGCCAAATACATACTCTATGCCAACCTCTTTCGCGCAGTTGACACTAGCGGTCTCTTCACGGCCGACCCTGAGCTGCAGAGTGATGCGCAGGACTCGCGTGCCCTCGAGCAGCACTATGACCTCTTGGCAAAAGTCGTTCGTATCATTGGCGCCGCCCTCCTCAGCAGGGGAAGCCATAACATTGTCCAGGGGCGCAAATTCCTCACCGATCACAGGATGCTGGTGACGCATACACTCAAGAGAAGTGCTGGTATCGGCGGGGGTGTGGGCAACGAGGCACTAGATGAGAAGGTTAGCGACCTTGCCGATGGCCTTATGGTTGTGATTGCGGCGACTGGCTTCTTGGAGGTATGTTGACAATTGATAAGCGGCACATGGTTCTGTGTTGACGAAACGCAGTATGAGAACGAATCCGTAGTTGAGTCGGTGAAGCCGAATCAAGCACTATTCCATTAATCTCGCAGATGGCTTACGCAGTTATTAATGAAGGGGCTCAAGTTTACAGCAAAGTTTTCGCGCTCGGCTTGGGCGATAGAAATGGCGTTGGGAAGGAATTTTTCATGAACCAAGTATCGCGACGGGATCAAGTGGCAATGTGAGATGGCACAGCACCTGGAAGGGGGGGAAAGAATCATATACCTGTTGGATATTTTAGGTAGGCATGTAGTGGTAGTCTAACAGTTAGAGTAGAGTCCATTAAGATATCTATGTACCACGTGGATTCTAATTACTCTTGTCCTTGATGTCTTTGTCCCAGGCTACCATTGGCGGTACTTTTATGACACCAACGTGTGTATTTCGTATTAATCCTTTGGAATGCGTGTGGACCGCGCAATGCGCAAGTGTATACTGAAGCCAAGACTGAGCCGAGACCAACCATGCGCATGTACATTCGACTGTGTATACAAAAGACGCCCAAACTCCATTTCTTCCCAAGGGGATTAGCGGTGAGCAGCCAAGTCATGATAACTGGTCCGCTTTTCGTTTGCCTTTGGAGGCAGTCATGAGCTTGAGCTCAAGATGCCAAAAGCCTTTTGTCTTCGTGTTATAAGCGCTCCGTGACTTGGTGTCTATCTTGGCTCTGCACATGGGGCATTTCCCCTTTGTGGCTTCGACATGGAGGGACGAGTGCAGACACTGCGCGCAGTAAAGGTGGCCTGTGGCACGTATTAGTATGGGCCTCACGTAAGAATGCATGTCGTTGCTTCAAGGGGGGGGAGACTTGCCGCAGTGGGTGACGGTGAGGGTCGTGACGTCGTCCATGCAGATGACACACTGGAACTTGGACATTTTGATGCGATTATCCTGTTGCGGCTGCTTCAATTCTTCCGGAACCTTGTTGGCCTCGGTCAGGTCTATCGTCGTGAGCTCCTCGCCGTCGACTATTTCTGAGCCCTGCCTGGTGAGATCCTCTCCAAACAAGTCGTAGTCGTCGTCGTCGTCGTCCAAGGGTGCTGACGGCATGGCCAAGGAGCCCACGGAAGCACGGTTTGCGGCACCGGCACCCTGCTGAGACGTCCTCATGCGTTTATTGATTGAGGGCGAGTCGGTATCGTTGAGGATATGCTGAAATCGAGGTGGGGGCGGCGGCATCTTGTCCGAGAAGGAGGGATAGGCGCTTTGTGATGGAGATGAGTCCTCGCCGTCGTCTGTGGTGAGCGAAGTGCTCTGTGATTCTTCGAGGCCCGAAGAACTGAGCTGCGTTGCAGAGCGTGAAGGTGCCGCAAAGGTCCGATTGCAGGCTGACACTTGGTGGAGGGGAGCCGCCTCTGAGCCGGGGTTGGTGGTGAGAGCCGTGGGCTGAGGCTGAAATGCAGCCTGGTCTGGTTGTGGTGCCTCGCTGGCGGCCGGATTTGACGTGAATGGAGGGTAGGTGGACGGGGAGGAAAAGTCGTTGTCGGCGAATGTGCTCAGAAACAGGTCGTCGCTGTCGTTGCCGCGTTGGTCGTTGTCGCTGCGAATTGCCGTGTCTTCGCCCCAGTGAGTGGGTGCGATGACGCGGGTGGTGATGCGGCGGAAGGAAGGTCGGTAGGACGACGGTGATTGCTGTCGTTGGCGCCGGGGAGTCGACGGAGAGTTTAATAATGCAGGTACGTTTCCCGCCCGCAGCGGCCTTGTTGCGGATGAATGCGAAGACGCGTGGTGGCGAGGCGACGAAGAGCGTGCCAATGGGGCAGACTGTTGCGGCAGTGGGGGGAGGATGGGCTGTGGGTTGTTTCGTGGCGGGAGGTAATATGTGCAACGAGTGTTTTGGCATGGATCGCTGTCCCTTTCTGTGTTGATCGTTTCCAGGAGGGCTGGAGGTGAGGACATGGTGCAAGCGCGGGAACCCTCACGAACCAAGGCTTCCGCGTCGGACAGACGGAAGGGCGAAGTTGGATGGCGTTGTGGTGACGGGTGCTTAGAGAAAGTGGCGACTACTTTATTTAAGGGCGGAGGAGTTGGTGGTAGATTCCTAGGTACCTGGGCCTGTGGTGGACGGCTGCAAGGTGTACAGTGTACGGACGGTGTACGGTGTCTGCGGTCTGCATGTGCGGTCTGCGGTGAACTCGAGTGCCGACGCCGCCTCCAACTTAAAAGGCCGCGGAACAACCTACTTCAGATGGCCTGTGCCGGCTTGTCCGCATTCACATGCCCTTGGCTGTGAATTCCAAGTAGGGTAAACACTTGACATATTTCGGCATCTAAAGCAATCTATGAATAAAGCAACGCGTGCAACTCATATTCAAACCCGCAAATAAATTTCAACCCTCATCTCGTCTCCCTAGCCAATCTTCAATTGCCAACTTTAGAATCAGCAACTGTATGATCCACCGTTACCCTGTACCCTAAGCCAATAACAACATTCTGCATCCTTTGTATACCTAGCCATTCCCAAAGCATAAACAATCAAAAACACAAATCCCTCAAGCATTTCGTGTCCCAAGCTCTAGGGACGGCTTCTCAACTCCTTGAGCTGTCCCGGCGGCCGTTAGGCTTAACCGCTGCATCATTTCACCAGCAGCGACCTTTGGTAGAATACCCCCAGCTTCCATCTGGTTTGATAACCCCCTGAGCCTCCTATGTCCGTACCACAGTGAAGCCAAGGTTCATCATGCATTAGGATATCCCAATAGTCCTCCCGTGCTGTTTCCCATTCTCTGCGAATCAAGTCCAAATTCGGGACGTTTGTGTCCACATAATTGGCTTCGAATTGTGGCCATGGATCGGCGTATATTTGGCCTTGGCCTAGGCAGACCAAGATGTAATGTTGGAATGTCTGAAGTATCATCGTCTTGCTGACGCGGAGCTCTCTTTCCAGGAAGTTCGAACGTATGTCGCGCATGTAGTCCTGGGCCTCACGCAGCAAGATCGCTGCCTGAAGCCAGAAACGTGTTTCCAAGATTTGATCCATCACTTTCATAGTTGGTGGTTCTCGTCGAGATGCCAAATGTTTGTCTCGGGAAGGGAGCCGAGCAAAATGTCGAACTTCGCATGCTTCAGTTGAACAACGATCAAAATCGCGACGCAAGGCACGGTAAATCTTGTCTGTCGCTACACTCGCCACACTATATTTGACGCTTGGCTCTCGTGGGAACTTTCCATCGCATGGATGCCCGGCCATGAAGACCAGCGCCTCGTATAGCTCAAAAACACATTCCGAGCCCATTTTTGCTAGGTAGTAGGTATTGATACAGTAAAACGGATTGCGACAATGTTTGAAAATGGTTGGATATGGGCCTACAGAATAATTGGGCGGGAGAAGCCAGACGATTTATACTCACGCATAGGTAGTCAGCGCTCGAGTAGTAGCTCTGGTGCTTTTGGCTGGATTCGCACAAGAACATGCCTTCAGAGAATGTAAGGATCCTCATTGCTTGGGACTGTGAGTCTGTTGACAGCAGGCTAAAGTAGAATTTGAAGACTATTCAAACCAAGTTCAACACCCGCATGGCGGCTGATAATTAATTCATAAGCGGAATAGAGGAATAGATGAGCTTTATGTGAAAGAAATAAGCAAAGCTAAAAGATTTCTTGGTCTTCTTTTCATAGAAAGGCTAGTTAGTATTGAGTACTTGCAACTCATTGAACATTCACATGTGGCACACGGATAGAAAGAAGCACAGACAGCAGATTCCAGTTGCTTTGTAAAGTCATTGTTGTCTTCAATACGCTATATTGTAGGCTAGTTTTCTTCAACGCGACTTTACTCTGCCACGTGGTCTGGTCCAACCCTGGCTTGACATGCTCACATGAACTCATCCACAGCGACGAATGAACACACTCAAGCTGGAGAACCATCAACAGGAAACTGCAACAAGTTTACGGCTTCAGTTGCGGAATCTAGCATGCAAATTCATTGGAGACGACCTTTGTAACCGCCATTCCTCCATGCGAGTCGCAGCTTGACCTCTGAACTTTCAGCTGTCAAAGCGCAGGACGATGACTGTAGAGAGAAAGACATAGAAGAGGGCGCATTTATAAGCCGGATTTCGGGGGCGGCTAATAACGCTATTACTGGAACTTTTCCCTCCATGGCTCAACGGTCAAACCCGATATCCGTCGTGAAATCAGCTTGATTGTGACGGGGGGTGCAGACAGTCTCACGCAGCTGCCACTAGCTACCAGTAATCAAGCGCCTAGGCTGGAAGCAACCAGGTCTTTTTCTGTTTTGCACATTGGCTTGTAATTAATGAATGCACATTTTATGACTTTTAGCCAGACAGGGTCTCTTTAAGAATTTGTTCTCGTCGCGTGCAAACGTCCTACAAAGATTATGACTTCATTTCCCATTTTTGGGAGTTTCTCTATATATGTTGTATCGGACAATAGAGATGTTGTCACGATTGAAAGCTAAGAATTGAATGAAATGGTGGACGGACCTTGATTGAAGCCATCCATTGGGGATTTGAGGCCTCTTTTATAGTTGATGGTGACCTTGAATAGCCTGTATCTTCAGAGGCCTCCAAGGGGCCTCCAAGGGCCTCGAATCTCCGTTGAAACGGCTTGTGTAGCGGCCATCATTACGGATACAGCGTTTCCGACCTTTCTTTCCGTTGACAGATGTACAGTCCAATTTTTAACTGACTATTCCCAGGAGGTTGACAACTCAAACACGCCACAACTCCGTGGTTACCCAAGAGTCCTTCGCTAAAGGGCGACCGTGAAAATGCAAGACACTATATTGTTTACTGTGTTTTATTTTCCCAAGTATCCATCACATTCACTGCCTTGTTCAATATGACGAATTCCAATAAAGTGGCGTAATTTGCGCATCTGGATTGTTTCTCCGCGACTCCTCCCACCCGGTACCGCCGTCAATGAGCCACCTCAGGAAGGAGATATTCAGAAAGAGCAGGCGAGCACTAGACATAGACTTTGTGCTAAAAAGTCCATTACTCCGTTGTCGCATACTAGTATCAGATGGGGCTTCAATATTGTCACTAAGCCTTCGCAGGGAGCAAAATGACATGCACAGCACGTGCAAGAAAATAATCGGGAACGTCGCCTGAAATGCCCATGAGCGGAAGCTTGGTTGAAAGGACCAGGGACCATGTCATCGACCCGCCCTGGTCATTTCGCAAAATTGACAAGGAATGTGTGATTACGCCTAGGGCTATTGTTCAAATGCCTGGTGGGTCGGTTGAAGCACATTCCAGAAGAGTTTTACAGCTTTTAGACTCTCCATGAGTCCGTCATGAACTTATGAGAGCGCTACCCCAACTGGAGTTGGAGTCTTTGGGGCCGTGGACATTGAGTTGGCGGCATACGTTTCAAGCCAGTCCTCTTGGCTGTAGGATCTGGCAAGGCCTCGTGGTCGGTCATGATAAAGTACGTGCAACTAGATTGTCGACGTATCAGAAACAAGGCCGTGTGCTAGTCGCTTCAAAGCCATCTTCTCGAGAACAACGCCCTTGGACCTTTCTAGACTAAAGAGTCCGAGCCAGCCGAGAGAGGCTAGGCACAATCCCCATAGTCGGCTCGGTCAGCTCGCCTCCCTTCATGGTTGCTTTTGGCTGCCGCGTAGGCTCCCTGGCAAGAAGCACTAGCATTTACGCACTTGTCGCCTGCACTAGCCAAGGTTTTGGTCATTATTTGATCCCAAACCACGAGGAGTCCCCACGCGCTAGTGCATCACCGATCTAAACGCCTGTTGATCTCCCGTCGATGCCGGTCGGGAGAATGCAGAATCAGATATCATCACCACATCACCGCCGCGAAGCCGTTGACGGGATGCAGGACACATGGGGGCGTTTCAGAGCTTCGAGATAAATCTGCAGAGCAGAAGAATGTCGAGTTGCGGGGCTTTCAATGGCCATGCATGCCATGTTTTCAGCCGCCATGACGACGTCGTCTGCGGTTTGAACGAATTTGGACTCATCACAATTGTGGCAGATTTCCACATTCCTACGACGAAGCCCCCGCAGGTCCAATATTTTTAACCCGTGTTAGTTCATTGGACAGATGATGCAGAAGAGTAGGAGTAGTAGGTACAGTGTGGGACGAAAAAGCAAAGAAGAAAACAATCTACATGGAGCATGGTAGTTGCCTCCGGACAGAGCTCGGCGTTTCAGCGAATCACAGAGCGTGTTGCGTATCGAGGCCGCAAGTTGCCATGCGAATTGGATTAGTACATCCCCTCTGGTGTGTTAAGGCTCCAGTGGGGTTACGAGCTCCACAATGCACATGCTGATAGCGGGTGACCTTAGGGCGACCCGTTAATCGCGCTAGGACTGTACTAAGTTAAATGTAGTGACTTGTAAAATACTATCTTATGGGTACACTTATGGTCACTTAATATTATAGTAAGTAAATGTACCTTTTTATATTTAGCTTCTTATTGGATATATATCCCTGCAGATACTCGATTGGAGCCTTAACACACCAGAGGGGATGGGCACGGCGGAGCAACGGCTGTGTGGTGGACCCTCGGACTACTCCGTACGCGCCGTTGGCCTTCCGCTTTCCGGCCAAATAGAGTGGGCCACTCCGGAGTTCAAGTCCAGCTGAGTGACAGACCCCTGGTTCCAAGTCCTGGCTAAAATGGCAGCACTTCGTGACTGCGGGGTCGAGCGGCTCGTAAGATGTCATCTTTGCCGAAATGCTGTCGAATCTCAAGCCGGACGTTCAAGACGCGTAGTATCACAAGCAGCCTTGGTGACACACATCCCGTAGCCATCCGGAGCCGGGGCACGTTTCGGACTTTACAGAGCCGTCTTGAATGTTCAGATGGCTACAATGGTAAAAGTACGGATAAGAGGGCGACATAACATCGGATGCTGCATGCCGAGTTATTGTTGCCTTATTTCCGTCATGCGCCGCCCGAATAAAGC